TCTTAGCGCTTGAAGTGTACTATTCAGGATACATAGAAAGAAGTTAATCATATGACAGAGAACTATACGAAAAGATATCTAGGTGTCAACGTAGGTGGCTTAAAATGTGCTAAGTCTTTAAGTTTATTAACTGCGCAAATGAAAATAAAACCAAACAGAAGTATTTCCAGATTATGTAGTCACATATTTTTATGTATACCCTTAGCGTGTGGACGAAACTTGCAGAGATTCAGTGTCGAGCACTTGGGAACTAATGAATACTCTTTATCCACTATAATCGTTCACTTTCACTGTTGAATATGTCTTCTCATCCATTGAATCTCATATTTTTTCCCATACTATTCCAATTTGTCGAATATACTGAATCGAGTAGCCATAAAAGCCACTCTAACAACAATGAAAAGTGTAGCCGTTTGGTTGTTTTCATATTTGAATAACAGAAAAGAAGTTTTTGGATGTCTTTGATCACTGAAGCATACTTTTAAATCGTCTCCTAATTAAAGTTATGTTTGAAGTCTCTGACTGTTGGTCTGAGAGTGTTGAGAGATGTAGACTACCTGGTTGGGTTTCTCAACATGTTATGAACCAATGGTTGATGACTCTTGGTGATATGACTGAAAATCGATCACAGTAAGACAGATGTATTCACTCTTTGACGCCTTCTAAAGCTTGGATATTTGCACTAATTTATTCTCCCACACAACTTTTTTTACTCAGGTATCATTCTTCTTATGTCCATTTATTCTTTGTATACTGCTGTGAAGTGGCCACTAGAACCGATGTACTTGTGTGTGACGTTCTACGTTGATTTTGTCTGTCTAAGCTGGTTCAGTCTAAGATAAGTAAGTCATAGTAACAGTCATTAATACTTGTCATGTCATGCTTCTTTTCGAGTAAGCCAAATGGTGTCATTCAATAGAAAGTTTTATGGTGATCAACGCTAAACTAGCATAAGTAACGCCGTAAGGAGACGGAAACTGAAACTATGTACTCGTGAAGCTATCTAAACATGTATTCAAGCAGTTGTCTTTAAGATATAAAGCAGGAACTTAAAATTGACCAATCACTAAAGTTGTTCTGTTGAATAGATCGACTGATGCCATACGTCAATGAGTTGCTTCAGTGACTTCCCGAGATCAATTCCTAATCCATGTGAGTTGATGAGAATGCCTCTAAACTTCTCTTAACGTTACTCATGAAGTTGTATTTAATTCCAAGCACGGTCATCATCTGATTAAAAAGAAGTAATTGATAAAGCTCAAAAAGTTAGCTACTTGAATTACTTATAAAAAGACAAGCATGCTTGCAAGTCAACGGAGAGAACTTATTATCACCGACAACCAAATTTATTCGCGATGCGTTCGTTCCTAAGTGTCTCTGTGTAGTCAGTCGCATCGTAGTAGGGACAGGGATTAACCAACGGGTTGTGAATAAGATCTAGCTAGTAAAGTAACAGTGAAATAATCTAACGTAGTGACTCAGCAGCGTTACGATGCGTTGCGATGTCATGAGCGTTGCAGAATGGGTATCTCTACTATCACGGTACATCAGAATCTGTTATAAATACAGATCTCAACTGACTCATTTGTATGTCTACCTAATTCTCTAGTCATTTGATCAACCTCACAGTAGTTACCTTCATAAGTGACGGTGTAGCCTTCGGTACGCCTTTTAGATAATGTCTCATAAAATGCACCGAACTTCCATTAAAGACAAATAAGGATGACGAGAAACTAAAAACATAAAGTACATTTTTCAATGTACGTACGCAAAGTTTGATCTCAGGGTTCATCCACCTTGAAACCTAAGGGATATGGTTCACAACCGCATTAGTAAGGGTGACCGTCATGCTGTGTAGTACATGTCTCTTTATGAACACTCAGAGATGTCGCTAGTTCCACAGATAGCTTGTCAAAAGACAAGCAAGCCTTCTATATCTATGCCAATGTTTCGCTGGTCAACAGTAGTGCGACTTTTCCAGACAAATCAAGTGGTCAATTACTTCACTTTTCGTGGTCAAACTGCAAGTTATTCGATTTTGAGAATTACGAAATGTATCCCGAACAGTCGACGTTATCGTTCATAAAACTGCATTTTCGCATGAAAAGGCAATATATGTATATATCTACCAAAATATCTGCAATAGGAGGATAGACCATGTGAAGTCATGGGATTGTCTGCAGAATTACAGTTGTGCAATGAGTGGACATGTCTGACAGATACTTCACAAGAGACCTGAGTGCAAACTCAGATATATCCATAAGTGTTCGAGCACAAAGCCTTTAGTACAGTGAGAAACTCTGACAATTCGGGTCAAAAAAGTGGCCTAGAACTGAGTGTCCAATGACTATGACCCCTAAAAATCTCAGAAACCGTTTTAATTAAGCTGTCTCATTTATTTTTAACACAGACGAGTTCTCTGACTTCCCGCAGACTGGAATAACCAAGAGCAAGGAATATTTACAAAGAAATTATGTCTGGTTTGCACATCTAGCTGAGGTAATGAACGAAAATTCCTATGCAAAAAGTTCCAAGTGCAGGCCATCAGCGATCGCCACCCTTACAATTATAGCGACAGTTAAAAGGTAGACGTTTTCTTTATAATTTGATTATCGAATAGTACTTACGATCGCTTAGTCTTTTTCGATGATGATTCTCGTAACTGTTACGTTGCACACTTATAGTTGTACATTTCAGCCACATTAGCTCTTGATAATACATGACAGTATTTGAAATGTCTCTGAGCATCATTTAGCATAAAAGCGGTTTCTTGACCCTTACTCATATTGGGCGGAAAGTTAACGAATATCTTAACTGATGTCTATGCATCAGACTGGTGACGATACACTACCTTACGATGAGTAACACTAACATGTGCGGCTGACTGCTTAGTCTACTTTATCTTCGAGTCAAACTGAAAAAGTTTATTTTTTTTATCTAAGAATGAATAGAAAGACAAATACTAGAGTCAAAACAAGATCTAAATTAAAGTGCGTGACCCAGAAGAGGGAACTATGTACCGAATTTCTTGAACCGAAACTTAGAAATACCAACTGTGGTTACTACTGAAATAAAGTCGGTGGCCATCTCGTTATGCAGTGTCTCTAATCAGGTTTAGAAGTGGTAATGACTATGAAAAGACGGTTGTCAAACCTGAACTACCATTACCTTTGGGTTCTGTACACGTGATTCAGACACACAGGATACGTTCATTTCAGGCTTGTTATTCGATTTAAAACCAAGTTCATTACTCTAACATATAGTTTGAAGTACAGTTTCAGGATACTGAGGACGCTGTGCTACAGCTGAGACTGCAGAAGAAAGAGATTAAAAGCAGCAAACACTTGTAAGGAATACGTATGACATGGATAAAACCGATCAAAAAGAACACAAACGGCAAAAGGTTAATCCATGTGACCTGAACATCTTCACTGACTATCTGAAAAGTAACTGGTGTTGTATTAGTAGTTTCATTCAGCGATGAAAAAGGCCACGGAGTCCAAGGGGACATAATTTATAAATGCGAATGTTTAGTTCCTACTCAATACGGTTAGTTTCATACTTTTCAAATCCTACTGCCAGTATCAGATGACCTTGTGACAGCATCATTTTTCAGGTCACTTCATTTCTAACCTTTTTTTATCATGATTGGAAGGTAGTAATGCTGAGGATGATGGTTACCCTGATAATACAATCTACCCTTATTACGAACCTGTACTGCAAGTAGTAGAACTTCTCCTGCAAACCTAGATAACTGGTAAAGGTACACTGATCGAATCCCTCGTGAACAACACATTTTGGAAATACTCATTAACACCGTACCACCACATCTTTTGCCTTGAAGGTTATATTTACTGATCAGGAGATTCTCGGTTGTATCTAAATATGAAAGTATAAAAATGTTGAGGAAACCAGTGGTTTTCATACGCTTAGAATAAATGCCACAACATTTAACTGTTGTCCAATATATTCACAAGTAGTTCAACAACAACAGCTGACATGGTACAAAGTGTAAGTCACTTCCTTTATTTAAGAACTTGTTAGCCTAGGGGTAAAAAAACTGGCGACGTCTTGGCATGGATACGTCACCATAGAGACACCCCATTGTTTATAAGTCGAGTAGAAATTCTCTCAGCGACCTTGTGCAGTAGGCTATGAGCCACACCTATTTTATGGGGGCTATCTGATTGGGCTACTACCTGATCGCCCAAAACTTGGTAGGCGGAGCGGGACTCGAACCCCGTGACCCGCTGGTTGAGAGCCAACTGCATAGGTTAAAGAGCCGCAGTTCCATTGTACTCTAAAACTGAGATGCATATGATTTGAAGGCTGAAGACGTAAGATGTGAGTACGTATTGGATCACATAGGTCTTCAGTTTATTGCTGCTTTAATGTAGTTACAGAGTGTGAAGTTGATGCCAAGTGTAAAGTTCGTAATAAGAAAGGTGGGTAAGTTCAAAACCTAGTTATAAAAAAGTCAGCTATAGTCGTACAAGCAAAACTCTTTATTAACTTTCAGATGCAAATGGTTTTGTTACTCCACATTTACGTAACTTACAACCGCCAACGCCATTTCTGTTCACCTTGATGTCTTATTTTTTCCATTTCTCTTTCTTTGGCATTAAAAATCTTGTGCTAAGTCTTATGATGTGGTCCCTTTATTTGTCTTTAAATTGGATAGCATTACTAAAAGATAGCTTACATATACCCTTTAAAACTAAACACGGTTGAGTAAAGTAAACTGTTTGAATGGAATTCAACGCTAAGGAACTGGTTCACTGGTAGTAACGTCACCACTCTCTCTCTCTCTCTCTCTCTCTCTCTCTCTATATATATATATATATATATATATATATATATATATATATATATATATATATATATAATTTAGATGAGACTTAATAACAAAGCCACTATAGCCAATTTAGAAGTGAGAGAACGCAAATGAAATACACATTACATGAAGTAATCCATAAGTCATGCAAGGAAAAGACAGAAAATACTACAAAATACTTTTTATACATCAAGAAATACCATGTGAAAGATGAAATCTGGTGAATTTTGCTACATGGTTCTAATACGCTGAAAGGATCGAGTCCAAAACCTCATGGAAATATCATAAATACCAAGAAATATAGCTCCTCCAATAGACAACAATGTCACTCTGGGTATCAAGCCTGAAAACAATCTGAAATGAAGGAAAATTGAAACAAAATTAAAGTTTAACCAAGGAATATTCCTTCCAACCTTCCTCCCTCTGTACTCAGTATTTCTATGTAATCTAATGATGTATAAATGTATGAGACCGCAAACTACTTTCTTTTCAAACACTAAATTTCAATATCTTACCTAGTATTGAACAGCCATCTTTTTGACATGTATTGGATAAAATGAACGTAAAATTTGAAGTAACATTGACTTTATTTTGTGTCCTATAGTAGCGTACAAGATTTACTATCATAAAACGGCAATTAAATAACCTTTGATGTTTTGTTTGGGCTGATATCTGGCATACGTACAAATAAAACGCTCTATTTGACGAAGTTTCCACCTGTAGAGCAATACGTGAGTTTTTTAAGTTTAAGCTAGATATTAGTTCACCTTGTGACTCCCAACAACAATGCTCACTGATCATAACCTATTGGGCTTCCGCGAACGGTTTGACAATATGCAGCAAATGTCTTTTCCCACGGTTTACTGTATTTAGGACCTGGGTTACATTGATTTCCTTCAATATTCTGAGGGACTTATGTCGTGTAACGATATCATTGAAAATAATATACATTGTTGGTTCTGAAATACGTTACGTAATCTAACAATAAAAAGATGATGCTTTGATTCAAGAACACTTCAAACATCCTGGAACAGAATATTACTTTCACCCTTGAAAAGCGGCGACTTTAAAGACCACCCTAGCAACAATCGAAAAAACCCATTTTCTTCATTTTGGCTGGAAAGGCAGATTTTCATAAAACAGAGAAGTCTGACTGGTTATTTCAGTTGTTGCTATGGCAACGGGTGAGTCAACATCAACGATCCTAGAGTATAGGAAGTTATAAGCCAAGTTGCTGGAGTAGCAAAAGTTAACCATTCACCTCCACAAAGGAGTCACACTTTATTGTAGTTATCTTCAAAAAATTCTGACCAGAATATAGATGTATATACGCTACAGATTTTCAAACTAAAACCAGGATTCTTGCTTTCGATGGATTGTTCAACTTGAAACATCCTCTTGTAACCGTTACTTCCATAACAATAACGTATACCGATAACCATGCTATGTAGCCTTCATGCAGATGCTGTACAATTATTCATACGAGACTTGTATGCATTACTGTACTCACTATCTCCTACAGTGGAACAATGAAATCGAAGAAGCTGCAAGGAGATTGTTTACGTGCTACACACTTTTCAGAGCCACAAGTAACCTTACCCGCCATCGCCATGGGATCTTGTGAATGAATTCCAAGCTATTTTACACAATTTGATAGAAAGATATACGGCCTGAAATTTAACTTGCTTCAATACTTAGTTGAAAACAGATACCATCATTTTAACAACACCAACTAGTTTAGGATCATAGTTTCATCTGCTATCAAAATTAATTAAAACATGGGTGGGGTGAGGGTGGGATCGCAAAATGATCACAGCTCATATACATACTTTATACGAAGTAGAAGTATGACAGATATCAACGCCGTCAATAACGAATAGCAACAAGAACAATTTAATTTTGCTTTTGAATGATAAAGGGTGTCAGACAGCACATTGATAATGGTTATATGGGAAGTTGGAGGCTGAAATCTACAGATGGTCATAGAGTAGTGGGTGTTGCTGATCAGAATGAATATAAGTAGTATATGTTGAGAGGGTGCAGAAACCATAGACAATTACCAGCAACGGATAAACATTCCGCCCAGAGAAACGCAAAAGATAACGCGGGCGTATTAAGAACAAATCAAGATAGAAGCAGAAGAGGAAATGAAGTACATTATGCAAATAACTGTCTTAAAGGAAGGTGTACAATATTTGATGACTACTGTACAAGATGTCGATAATAAACATTCCTTCCTTCGTCTCCGTCTTGTCGTTTTCTGCAATAGTAGGAGTGATCAATACCTATGACTAGTTAATTTCTCCTCTCTATACGATTGCTTAACTTGTATACTCACACTGCCAACTAGCAGTATAACATGTAAAGTATGGTTGTTAGGGGCATTCACTTCATGACAAATTTATACTAGACTGAACCTCAGTGCATAAAGATGTACGTGGTTGTTGATACAGTTTCATTTTCATAAATCAAATCATTGTGTTGAAGTGTTAAATCACAATACTACAAACCAACATATAAATTTAACAAATTAATTGCCGGGTGGTGGCTAACAGGAGGATCTAGAACGGGCATTCCTCCCTATTTCAGACTTTTCATAGCTTGATACACCTGCACTTCAGTCACCACACGTAGGAAAAACAAAGTGAGCATCATGAATTCCACTGCTATATATTCAACATGCATCAATTATATGGATAAGATTCAAATGAAATAGAAGTAACCTACCCATGGATTCCACTCTCTTGAAATACTGTCCGTATAGCATACACAACGTGACCTGATGCAAGTTTAGAATTTGACTATAAAAATAATAAAAATGAAGAGAACAGAAAACATTTTGCCTACTCCTCTTCTCCACCAAACATAAAAATGGTGAGAAGTGAATATTATGCTATAAATGAGGAATGAATCTGAAACCACAATTATGGCGCATAATAGCTCGGAAAGTATATTAAATACACATTTCAGTAGAAACAACAGATATGTTGTACTTCCATAATCAGTGGGTTTGAATGGTATATGCTAAGGATCATCAGTAAACAAGACCTGCAAGATTGACAAGAGCCGGTGGTTGCATTCACTCTTGACAGTGAACTGTTAGAAACAGTCGAAAGCATGCTGTATTTGGGTAGTTGTGAGGACGGCTGATGAAGATGTGATGGACAAGATCTTCGTCAAGTGAAAGTCATAAACGACACACACCAATCTATGTCCCTTTTAGTTATGTTGCAACAATCGTTGGGTTTATAACACTCCGGTACAGACAGTTCCGCACTACACCCGTAAAACACAGGCTTTCCAGTTTAGGACCTCCGATGACTCCATTGTTTCTTGACTATTTTTCCTGTATGGTTAGTCGCATCGCGTGTAAGTAATTCAGAGATCCGTTCATGTGTTTGGATATGATGTGAACCTTCATTCAATAAGTGAAGTCATATTAAGACCCTTACTTCAATAGCTTATACAAGTTTTATGCAGTCTCTCTGTGACCAATGTACTGTTCACCGGTTGCAGTGATGGTTTAAGAAAAGGGGAGGTGATCAGTTTACCACAAAGTGTCACAAAACACAGAATAATCCTATCTGTTGAAACACAACTCAGTGAGTGAGTTCCGAGAGAAAATGCAAATAACTGACATGAAACACTAAGATATTGCAGAATCAAAACCAGTCGTGATAGCGTTTTAGTTCCCTTGTGTCTCCCTCCCACTTCCAAAATGTAGTACAAAAATAAAGGATTCTGAATATGGTGCAGTAATCTCAAAGAATCCTTAGGAATGTGTCTCCTATATAACTACCTCGTTTTTCTGTTCAGGTTGATGTTCCATATCTCTTTCCTGTCTCATTTCCATGTTTTCTACATTGTATGGTTCAAATAAAGAGACAACTAAATTGGAGTAGAACTTTGCACAGAAATGCATCATTTCAGAACAGCATATAGAAAGGAAGTGGGTAGAAAGAGAACAGCGATTCAGAAAAATTTGTTGTGCAGTATTCTGATGTCCACGTTTTATAAAATGAAGTGTAAGATGGAGAAAATTAAAAAAAGACAACAGAAATTAACTAACCTCTGCTAACATGATACGGGTTTTCGCCACATCTAAGGGTGTAGTTACGGCACCAGCTATTGTGCCTGCTAAGCACCCACAAAGTGCTGATTGCCAGGCTTTTAACTGATAGACTGTTGGATCTGTAATAGAATCAACTTCAGTCGACTTTTTGTTCCACTCAACAGCAATATACTGAAAAAATGAACAAAATTTGTATTTTTTGAAAAACAATTTTTTTTTGAAACATGATGAAATATGCGTAGTTATGCGGTGAATTTACGTAACACTTTTCAGATAATCCGATCATAAACGTATTTGTCATAGGTATTTATATTAAACTAGAAATCATATAATTTTTCGGGCGGTGCTACTTTCGATACAATGTCACTACATGGCAAGATAAGAATGCATTAGACTGTCTACAGTATTTTGCTTGAATCCTATTTACTGTGAGACTTCACACAATACCAATAACTAGTAAGTTGACCGTTTTAATTTTAACGAAACAATTATCTATCATGTCAAGGAGTTGGTTCAAAACAGATGTCACAAGAGTGTATCACTTGAATTGACTACACTCCTTAATATAAAAAAAGCCAGACAAGAAGAAGTGCCTGACTGAATGACAAGATCAACGTAGAATCTTGCACACAGGTGCATCGGTTCAAGTTGCCACACTTCACACTAGTACAAAAAGAACAGGTACATGGAAAAGGAGTGATATCAAAGTAGACAAAGTAGTGTACGAGAATAAACAATTTAAAGATAACGGTTAGTGCGAATATTCAACTTTTAGAAGATGGTTAAAGAGTGAATACATCTGCGCCATTGTGACCGATTTTCAGCCATGTCACCAAGATTCCTCATCCGCTGATTCCTTTTGTCTCAAAGACCCCAACTAGGCAGTCTACATCTCCCCCACACGGCTCACACCAACAGTCAGGGACTTCACCGACTGGTGCCACGTCTTGGTCTGAACACGCTGAACCCTCTTCCAATTTAATCCAGCTTTCCCTAGCATAGCACGTGGAGGCTAACCATGCTTTTCAGTAAATAATATAGATTAAATTCAATCACATTAGTAAGAACAACTTGAGACTATCTTCTACAGTATATCCAACTATTGTAACCGAATACCACAGAAATACATCCAGACTCAATACTGTTATGCATTCTAAGGTTGTCTTACTCATCTGGCTACTAGTAAAGTGGAAACATGGTTTGTTCAGTGTTGTACTTATTTTGTCGCTACCATTCTATAACTAGACTCGGTACATATGAATTTACAAGGCTAAGAGACATAATCATTTGATTTGTTGTTTGATTTTCACTTGGTTGCTCATCCCGAAGTAGGTGGGACGGAGTTTGAATTCAGGACTTATTGCTCGAGAGCCAAATATGTAAGCTAAGGAACCACATCTCCAGTCTACTGTTCATCAAATCATTCAGAAAACTTAAGGGTGAAGCATTCAATACAATTAATTAATTATTAATTATCCAAGGATACACTAATAGTCAATAATTTTGTACATATGGGTTTTACAAGGAGAGTATTCATAGTATTTAATGCAAGCTCGAACTTGTTGACTTCAAGGCCAAAACTTTCAGTACTATCACCTTGTAATTTTTGTTATTGTCATAAGATTAATGAATAAGCTTTAATATTGTAGGTTAATGTGTCTTTATCGTAGGTAACATGGTAAACAAACCTCGCCAACTAACAACCGATAACACAAACTAACCTGGTAATGTTATCTATATTATTGAGGAGAAAGTGTTTAGTTTTCGATTAGTAAGGGCTACAATTTCCATGTACTAGTTACTAGTAATTCTTATATGATAGAAGACAGCAGGGTAGTAGTAAATAAATGCACCCCAGTAACCGTAGATTTCCGTTACACAACACCTTAGTAGTACATCAAGGTTTCTTAGTGAACTTAAGTCCCTAACAATATTGTGACACTTCTAAAAGAAGAACAACTAAATTCATGGACATGCACATAGAATACTCAGTATGATATAATGCATATCCTGTGCAAAATGATTTCATATTTGAGTGTGGAAGTGTGACTTGTTGGCATGGGGATTCAATTATTAAGCAACGGGTCAAGTCCCGTCCCACCAACTTCAAACTGAGCAATTAGAATAGCATCATAAACCCACCAAACATTTAATGTAGTTGGTAGCTTGGTACATAATCTTGTACTTGATTGTTGAGTTGCATTGGGGATTATAAAGGATAGAAAATGATCGGTGAAGAAGTCCTCTTTGCAGTAACATCATTTACAAACTGCATAAAAACGTGTCAGACAAAACCAACGCGGCAACTCGCATACAAGTGCATCGGTTCAAGTTGTTACACTTCACAGTAGTATACAACGAACAAGCGGATAGGAAAGACTGATAACAAAGTAGACAAAGGTGTATGAGAAGAGAGGGAATTTGAAAACGACGATTCATGAAGATTTCGATAACACTATTAGAAAACGAAGATTATCTGAAAAATGTGATGTATTTGTGCAATACATTTCGAACAATCTGATCAAACATTTACTTGTCAAGTCAATTTATATATGAAAATTAAAGGTCAAATATAGTGAATATGAAAAGGTTGTGACACTAGTCTTGATAATATAATCAGATCAGCAAGGCTTACCAAGGTAAATTAAGTGAAACAACAAATTGTTTTTGTACACACAGCGGGGGATTAAGTTTACGAATGGCTGACGCTTCGGCAAACTTCAGTATGCGCCCCTGATTATTCCTGTATAATATCTTAAACGCTGTTTTCGTATTAACCCTGTGATTCATTTCAATAATATGTTTTGCTATAGATGACGATGGATGTCTGTCACCTGCACTTATCAAAGTTTGTGTGTTAAACTGTTTTTCTAGCCATTTGGGGATGTGTTCACCCACCTTAGTCTGCATTTTCATATATAAATTGACTTGACAAGTAAGTGTGTGATCAGATTGTTCGAAATGTATTGCGCAAATACATCACATTTTTCAGATAATCTTCGTCTTCTAATAGCGTTATCGAAATTTATTAAAGGGACTAATTGTTTCAGATTCATGAAGATGTCCAAGCTTCAGAAGACGTCAAGAAGTGAATACATCTGAGTCATTGTGGCCGATTTTTAACCATGTCACTAAGAGTCCTTAACCACTTATTCCTATCGTTTCAGTCTACACCTCTCTACACTGCTCAGACCAATAGTCGGGGATTTCATGGACTGGTGCCACATGCATGAATATTATATTAATTTAAACTAAAATCCAGGTTAGAAAAAATCATGTAAGTTGAAAAAACACTGAGATAAAGAATTTTCGAAACCAAAACACTACTATACTATTGAGTTGTATCATTTAATAACGTTAAGACAATCGAATGTTATATGAAAGCAGAATTGTAAGGTTAGGGAGGGTGATTTGAACTGAAGTAATATGGGTATAACAGAATGAAGTCCTTTTTCGAGAATTAACTGTGCATACACGTCATATACCTTGTCAACTAAATAACTGAACAAATCCCCTTAGAGAGTGGAGTTCAAGCTTGAAAACACAAATTGTCATAACGTCTACAAAATATGCCAATAAATGAATTTAAAAACTGACTAAAGATTTACTAATCAGTTATCAGGTGACACTATTTGTAGAATCAGTCAAACTTGAAAGAGTAGTTTGAAAAAACGAGTTGATCATATGTCACGTGAGCGACTATTGTTATAGAAGTAGGATTGGGTAGGAGGGTTACAGGAGACCAGTCCATAAAGTCTTGGACAGTGTAGGAAGGTGTAGGTTGTCTAGTTGGAGTCTTCGAAACGATAAAAACCAATAGTCGGATACAAAAGATCAGTCACAATGTCACAGATGTATACTTCGGAGTCATGAATATCTTCATTTATTTATTTTCCCAAAACTCTAACACAATTTTGTCTACTCTAATTTCATTCTCTTTTTTATCATTACCTTCTTTGCATGCTGTTGTGGATTATAATAACTCCAACTGATGCACTTCTACAGGAGGTTCTACACTGGTCTGTTCGTCTGAGACTTGTTCAGTGAACACTACACTACTACTAACGCATAGAGTAAATCGACTTTTCATATTGTAAACAGATAATTGGTAGCCAACAATTCAGAGCATTGAGCTACTTCTTACAATCTGTAAATTCTTTGTAGGTATTAATAATCACTAAGAAATAGATCTACACATTTTATTACCAGAAATCTTTTATTTTTCTGTTTCAAACATTTTAATTTCCGAACTTTTATTGACTAGTAACAAGTGGGTTCACTATTAAAACTGAATCAATGAGCAAGGAGCAGTAATAAAATTGATAATACATGAAATAAACTCAAAGACATTACACTTGCTACTGTTGAAATGCATAAAACGTTACTCTGAAAATACATACTCTTAACTGCTCCCATATAGGATATTGTATAAATGAAAAAGGAATTTCTCGTGATAAGGTGCTGATATATCCTCTGTAGAAACCATGAATCCCCTGGAACAAAAAATTATTTAGAAAAGTTGCACTCACATTATCTAAAAATAGTAGATTGGGAAAAAAAAATTCATTCTAACAGGTTTCTGTTTTCATCAGAGAATAGCTATAATTTGTTTGTGTTTTTATATGTGATCAGCCAAGCATAAATAAATAATCAAAGAATGTTCATCTATTCGGTCTTAAGAAACTGATTCTACCATTCTTGATGACGGAAACTGGAATCATTATTATTATATTATTTTTCCCTTGGGTCCCTAATGCAACATAATGCTTCAGTAGCACGGTCTCCATTGCACTGTCTTCTCTGCAGTCTTTTCAACCTGGCGCCACGACTACCCACAAGCTTTCATTTCTTCTCCACATGATCTCCTTCATGTCACCCTCACCTCGGACGCCCAACTAGTCGTTTCCCCTTTGGATTCCACTCAAGGGCCTGGCACATGATGTCACCAGTTGGCCTTCTTAGTGTATGCCCAATCCATCTCCACTTTCTTCTGCATATTTGTTGGGCGAAAGGTTCTTGGTTGGTTCGTTGCCAGCCAGCCAGAGTTCCTCGTTTCTTATTCTTATTATTCTGGCCATCTGATCTTCAGCATCCAGTGAGCGTAGGCGGCTGTTGATGAATGTCTGTAGTTTGTTGGAAGTGCTTTCGTGACACGCCAAGTTTCTGAACCAAATAGAAGCACTGATTTGACGTTGCTGTTGAAAATCCGGATCTTGTTCACTCTTTATGCTGAGTGCAGTAGATCTCCAAACTGGTTTCAGATTAGCAAAAGCCTGTCTTGTTTTTCCCATCCTGGCTTTGACATCCCCATCTGTGCCGTCGCCTATAGTTGAAACGATGTTGCCTAGGTAGGTAGGTAGGTAGATAGGTAGGTAGGTAGGTAGGTAGGTAGGTAGGTAGGTAGGTAGGTAGGTAGGTAGGTAGGTAGGTAGGTAGGTAGGTAGGTAGGTAGGTAGGTAGGTAGGTAGGTAGGTAGGTAGGTAGGTAGGTAGGTAGGTAGGTAGGTAGGTAGGTAGGTAGGTAGGTAGGTAGGTAGGTAGGTAGGTAGGTAGGTAGGTAGGTAGGTAGGTAGGTAGGTAGGTAGGTAGGTAGGTAGGTAGGTAGGTAGGTAGGTAGGTAGGTAGGTAGGTAGGTAGGTAGGTAGGTAGGTAGGTAGGTAGGTAGGTAGGTAGGTAGGTAGGTAGGTAGGTAGGTAGGTAGGTAGGTAGGTAGGTAGGTAGGTAGGTAGGTAGGTAGGTAGGTAGGTAGGTAGGTAGGTGAAAGAGACTACTTCTTTTAGGTTTCTCCCGATGATAGTGGTTGGTGCTTGTTGTTCATGCTGTTGTTCGCTGCGTCTCTTCATCACTTATATCTCCTCTACGTTCACCTAAAAGAAGTCCCGTCTTCGCTACCTTGCCTCTTGTGTCAACTTGTTGGTTTTCGCCTGTAGATTGTCGAGTTCGTGCGACATTAGACACAAATCATCGGCGAGATCCAAATCTTCTTGGCTCTTTTCATCGGTCCAGCGTACCCCCCTCTTCTCACCCCTCACGGTTTGCTGCATGTCCAGTTCACCACAATCAGGAAGATCATCAGGGATAGTAGGCGGCAGCCTTGTCTTACTCTTTCCTGTCTTCACTTCAAAGGCGTCACTGAGCTTTACATTGTGGATCACTTAGCATGTCGCGTCTTCATATAGCTGTTGAATGAGGCTGATAAAGACTAGTGGCACTCCGTAGTATTGAAGCAACTGCCTGCCAAATTACTTCTCGGTCGACGCTGTCAAAAGCCCTCTCAAAGTCGATGAAGTTGAGGTACAGGTACAGTGGACTGTCATTCTATGCTCTGTTCTATGATGATGGGGAGCGTAGCGTTGCAATTCGGTCCCCACATGATTTGTTCTCCCCGAATCCAGCCAACCAGCCTGTGGTGGTCGTAATTTTGAGTCCAGAGCATCTTTTAGTCTCTCCAGGATGATGCGGCATAATATTTTGCTTAGGGTGGACATCAACAAGATTCAGCGCCAGTTCTTGCAAAGGCTTACGTCTCCTTTCTTTGAAAGTGTGACAAGGCACCCCTTCTTCCAATCAATAGGCAGGTACCTTTCCTTCCTTCCCTCCAAACATTCCACAGTAGTGGTGTGAGCATGTCCACTGTTGTCTCTGCGTCTCATATTTTCAGTGCTTCTGGTGGAATTCCATCTGGTCCTGCTGCTTTCCTGTGTTTCAGCAACTTTATGGCATTCAGGACTACACTTCTACTTTTCTCGGAGGGCCTGTGTTCACTGGTAGTTCTGCGATTGTCGGTGGTATTTCTCGACAAGTTGCAGGTGGTTGTGGTGGTCGATTCAAGAGCTTTTTGAAGTGGTCAGCTCATCACTTCCTTTGTTTCCCCCTTCACTATCTTTCACTGGTTTCGTCTGAGTTGATCTCTTTCCAGATAGTAACCTGGTTATTTGATACAATGTTGTCAGGTCCCCGTCTCTTCTACCTGCAGCTTATTCTGCTTCACTTACCAATATGTCATGGAAGTGCCTTTTGTCTTTGCGCACACTCCTCTTCACTTCTTCGTCCAGTGAAGTGTTGTATGGTTTATGTTCATTTCCTCTTTTTCCTTTGTTCATCCTTGCATTGCTTTATCTTCTGCTTCACTGTCTTCCTCTCCCTGCTCCATCAGCTTCCATGTGTCCGTCGACATACATTCCTTGTCTTGTTTCCTCTTCCTTCCTAACATGGTTATGCAGGTTTCTTTCAACATCTCTTTCAAAGAGTTCCACTGTTCTTCTACACCCGATCCTTCAGAGATGTTGCTCAATGTCCCGCATTTTATTATGATGCCTGACTGACGTGAAAATGTCCTTTGCAGTTTTGTCCTTCGGTTTCTGTTCTGAGTGTTGAGCTTGAACTCTGGTCTATCACCAACTTCTTTCAAGGCTTTCAACTTGATTTTGAAGGTCCCTTACACCAGATAGTGATTTGTCTGAACCTACATATGCTCCCCTTCTTCATCTTATGTCCAGTAAGCTGCATCTCCACTTTCCTCAGATTGAGATGAAGTCGATCCGATTTTTAGTGTAGTATATCCATCTGGTGAAATCAAATCCATGTCGCTGCCGTATGAATATCCTTGTGTTTGCATACACTGCCTCGCATCCAATCACCAAATCGTTGAATGCACAGAAGTCTGCAAACAGTTCCCCATTCTCATTCATCACTTCACCGAGTGCTTCTCTACCCATGATGAGTTCTCTTCGTGTGTTGTCTGCTCCGAGTTTGGCATTCATGTCACCCCACACATTAGAATGAATTTTGATGTTGCCAACTGGAGTGGTGTCTTATCCTGTAGTGATTGCAGTTGTCTGTGGAATTCCTCCTTCTTCTCTTCATCTGCATTATTTGTAGGTGCACAGTGTAACATTGTATGATTGTGACTTTCCTTCCTTTTGATTAGAACCTTGCTGTCATGGTCCTGGGATGAAGGAGATTGGTTCCCACTGCGTGAGAGAGGGCCTTCGATGCTCTTGTGAGTGGGACATCATGATAGCCACTCCACAACTCAGTGTGTTCATGGTTGTCGTTTGGGTGACAATGTTCGAGTAGATAATTGACTCTTCAGTTGACAGTATACAGAGTCCACTTCCATTCCATCTGCTTTTGCAGATTCCTAGCACTTCCATTCCATCCATACCTCCTCATCTCTTTCGCAATCTGGGGCAGCCCTGCTAGGTTCGTACATGGTGCTGACATTCCATGTCCCCATTCTTACTTTTGCTTTCATCGATAGAAGAGAAGACACATCGGCCAATTGGCTTCCCGAAGGCTTTCACCAACTGGCGTCATTTCGTCTTTCCGATTCCAGTGAGGAATAAGTTTATTTTTATGTTTTATATTTTGTTTGTGCTTTGAAGTTTGTTTAGCGATTGGATTGGTTTTACGAGTTAGGGTTGCTAGCCCTATACCCAACCTTTCCTGTTTATCCGGGCTTAGGATCGGCTAGTAACTAGTGAACTACTTAACCAGGGTAGGTTGATTCCGGAATCATACAGCGAATTAATGGATGAGGGTTTCTGAGGGTAACGATGATAGTTCGGTTTCTTGTAATACTGAGGGGTGTAACAATTTTGTCTACAATATACATGGGCCAGGCGACAGTGAGAGTGAAGATGATTCGGAAAATGATATGAAAAAAACAGGTAACATACCGAATCTGCGAGCTAGTACTGAATGCATAGTAAGCAAACGCATCCTCACCGAACAGACAGACAAAATCAGAGTAGACTGTCGTACACAAGTGCATCGGTTTAATTCCGTATCAGATTGGTTTATCTGATTTATAACACACAGTGATATAGTATTATTTACCTCATGATTTTTTGAGCACAAATTATCTTTGCTCATAATCATATCAATCTAATCACACTCATTTCGACATTTGATGTTTATAGTTCTGTCACCTCATATGATTTGTTTTTATTAGTAGTATAATCTTCAATATCTCCGGTATAGGTGTTGCGTGTTGATTCAATGAAAAAAGATTCAGTAATCAAGTCATCCCATCCAGTGTCAGTTAAGGCAGCCTTAGTCAAATGTCTTAGTGAGAGAGCTAGAAAACTGTCTGTTCCTAACAAGGAACTGAAATACGTAAAAGAAGCGCTAGTAGTTAATAATTATCCTCCGCAGTTTATTAGGAAATTGTTAAGAACACTGGAACGAAAAGATAACAGTAACACGAGTACTAATAATAACGACAACACAAGTAGAAAGGAGTTCACAGCCTCCATTGTGTTACCCTATAAGGAAGGTACATCAGAAACCTTACGTAGGATCCTCAACAAAGCTGGAATTAGGGGACATTTAAATCTACAAACTTACTCCGAGATAAGCTTTGTCGGCTGGTTTCAGGATCCGATGGAACCGATTAAGCAAAACAATATAATCTATCAAATTCCATGTAATGACTATGAGGTTAAGTACATAGGTCAAACTAGCCAGTTGGGGTCAGTTAGAATAACCGA